CAGAGTTTTGCCATTTTGTACCCCAACCTCGAAAACCACTTTTGTTTTATGTAACGCACTTTTAGGACATACTTTGGCTTATATCTTAAAAACCGTACGCTCGATTATTGCCATTTTTCTGGACATTTTTCCAACATTTTGTCGTACGAATGTAACGTAACGCCGGATAGGAACTGACCATATGTATATTCTTTATGGGGTCGGAAACATTTCCTTCTCTGCGTTACACATATCCAATTTTACCACAAATAAAAAATACGCCTTAACTCTTTCTTGAATACGGGTATAAAAAGTGAACTTTTGCCTATTTTAATAGGTTTTGTACATTAAAGTATATGGAATTATATGCCAATCGGCTAAATCAGTTAACTTTCATTCAATCTAGAAATTAATGCTGGTACAAAAGTACATAGGGATGTACATGAAAATCACTTCGATATTTTGTCGGAAATGCCAATATGTATGTACATACATACGTATGTACGCACCTATGTATAGTTGGTGTTGGGGTTAGTGATTGTGGAAAAGCAATTTAGAGCTGTCTTCGTTGTGTTGCAAACTTGAGGTTTGAAAAGTTTTACGAGTAACGAAAAATGTTATTGTGTATTTTTTGTTGAAATAAATCAATAACGGATCGGTACAAGAATCGAAAGGCAAACTACGCGCATCAAGTGAGGGCTGCACTTTCACCTCCAGCACCTGATAATCAACTCAACACAATTGCTGGACGGGCACTCTTGGCGAAGCGATGATCTGCTACTCAGCTGAGCGACAGATCAGCGACTGTGCAATCAAATGGAACTGGGCGATCGCTGCTGCTGCTGTTGCTGCTGCTCTTTTCTTGCTCTTGTTATCGCCTCGCCTCGCCTCGGTCTGGGCTTGGTTTAGTCTGTCAGAGTACGCCACCCGACTTGTTTTGAACTGCGGTACTATAATTATAATGAGCTGTCCCTATGCAGGAAACGGGTAAACTACGCCCTGGGTCGAGACCACGTGCAGACTTATCACTGATTGGCGTGGCGTGGCGTGGCGTTGCGTTGCGTTGCGTGGTTTCCTTACAGAAACGACCACGACGACGCAGCGGTACCGCTGTCCACAGAGGTGGGCAAGATCTACGGCGAGTACCTGATGCTCGACAAGCTGCTGGATGCCCAGTGCATGCTCTCCACGGAGGACAAGAGACCGGTCCACGACGAGCATCTGTTTATCATCACGCATCAGGGTAAAGCATCACAATCCAGTCCAGTCCAATCCAATCCAATCCAATCCAATCAGGTAGACACTAACCCTAACACCACCCCCACAATTATTTCTTTCTCTTCTCTGGCCAGCATACGAACTGTGGTTCAAGCAGATTATCTTCGAGTTCGACTCCATTCGCGACATGCTCGACGCGGAGGTCATCGATGAGACCAAAACCCTGGAGATCGTGAAGCGACTTAATAGGGTTGTCCTCATACTGAAAGTAAGACACTTGCGCAGGAGCCGTATATGGCATATACATACGTATATGTGCATACATATGTGTATGTATACCATGTACATACTTCATACTCAGTCCAGTCCAGTCCCCAGTCCAGTCCAGTCCCCAGTCCAGTACAAAATATGACTTAACTGTCCTTTTTGCGCAGCTTTTTAGGTACCTATCACTGAATCTCGATTACTAAATCCAACTCAAACCAAGAAATTATCTTAAAGCTGATTACCTAAAAACTGCGCCAAAACGAATGAGCGAATTCATTGACCGTAGGTGATAGAGTAGCCCCAATCCCGCTTGCTTAAAAACAAAAACAAAAACAAAAGACTATTTCCCCAACAATTACGCACCTTATAAATTCTATTAAAAAGCTGCTAGTGGACCAGGTGCCCATATTGGAAACCATGACGCCCCTGGACTTTATGGACTTTCGGAAGTATCTAGCGCCGGCTTCGGGCTTCCAGTCGCTTCAGTTCCGGCTGATCGAGAACAAGCTCGGCGTACTTACCGAGCAGCGTGTGAGGTACAATCAGAAGTACTCGGATGTGTTCGGGGGCGACGAGCAGGCTCTGACCGCCATCAGGAGCTCCGAGCACGAGCCCTCGCTACTCGAGCTGGTTCAGCGATGGCTGGAGCGGACGCCCGGTCTAGAAGAGAGCGGCTTCAATTTCTGGAAGAAGTTCCAGCAGAGCGTCGACCAGTTCCTGGCCGCCCAGGTGCAGAGCGCCATGGAGGAGCCGGTGGAGCGAGCCAAGAACTATCGCCTGATGGACATTGAGAAGAGGCGCGAGGTTTACCACTCCATCTTCGACCCGGCCGTGCACGAGGCCCTCGTCAAGCGCGGCGATCGCCGCTTCAGCCACCGGGCTCTCCAGGGAGCCATCATGATCACCTTTTACCGCGACGAGCCGCGCTTCAGCCAGCCCCACCAGCTGCTAACCCTGCTCATGGACATCGACTCGCTGATCACCAAGTGGCGCTGTAAGTTGGTCTTGGCGTCGATACCGATAACTCTTTCTAAGCTGCTTTCTCCACTTGCCGCAGACAATCACGTGATCATGGTTCAACGCATGATTGGATCCCAGCAGCTGGGCACCGGTGGCTCATCCGGGTACCAATATCTTCGCTCCACTCTCAGGTAATGACCTGATCGGCGCAACGCTCATTCAACTCCATTGATCTATTTGTGTGTGTGTGTGTTTGCAGTGATCGGTACAAGGTGTTCCTGGATCTGTTCAACCTGTCTACGTTTCTGATACCTCGCGAGGCGATTCCCCCTCTGGATGAGTCCATACGCAAGAAACTCATCCACAAGAGTGTCTAACGGGGGACCAATCCATCCAAACAGACCCAAGCAAAATAAAGCTTTAAGCGCAGTTCTTCGCAATATGTTTGACCTTACCTGTGCCTTGTCTGACTTCCATTGGTGCTGGCTTACACTTTGTTGTGCTGTTGTTTGATGCCATTGATCTCAATGGGTTTCGCCTGCCTGAAAGTATGCTATCCCTGTCCCGCTTATCGATAAGGGGCAGACTGAGGCTGGACCTGCCATTTTGGACGAAGTGTCGAAATATCTCGGTTGATCGATAGCCAAAGGAACACCTAATCGCTCTACAAAGGAAGCGAAATGGAATATATACTCGTAGATCATATTAAAAGGCTGCTTCGAGCTATGGACAAGCAGCACTTGCCCTTGGAATTTTCAGCAATGGAATGGATATGTTATCTTGATCTCCAACTTATTCGACCCTGATTTTTGCCCAGGGAGTTTCTTTCTTGAGACTTGTCTTTCGTCGCTCCTATTAGCAGTACATGTCTATAGTCTAGTCTAGTCTATATGTATGTATGTACCCCGAGTATGTAGGGGCTCATCTAGAGGCGCATAAAAACACAACCTTTGCCAGTGGCCTTTCTGGAGCTGATAAGAAGGCCGATTCTTGTTTCTATTCCCGGTACGCAAAGATTACGAGTATCGGAGTATAGAGTATTAGATTCGACTGGACGTACATACATACATACATACATATGTATGTATGTACATATGCAACAGCCAGAAGAAAACGTTTCTTGAGCAGCATCAGTGGCTCCATAGCCGCCCAGTCGATATACATACATACATGCATATGTACATACATACATATGTATGTATGTAGCCATGTCCGTATTGTCCGTATATGTGCCATGTACATAGACAGAGACAGAGACAGGGCGACCGGCCAGCGGCAATTAATTCTTATTATTATTGTTGTGTTTGTGTAAGGAGTGGATTCGGGTCGACTGCGATAAGGCGGTACGGTACATAGAGAGGGAATCAAAGCTCCCAGCCATTATGCAAGCAATATTTAATTGGAACGCCACATTTGCGCAAATCAAATTCAATTTACACCACCCCTCCCCCTCGCCCGTGCATACCTTTCGGTGATGGTTAGTTTTGGACTATTTATGGCTCGTTTCTTCTCGGCAATTACAGAGGCTAGGCTGCCTCCTGATAATTACATTGTTCCCCACTCCCACCACAGATCAGTCCCACAGCCCGGCAGCACCGCACCCTGAATGTGCTATGCCTCGTACCACAACCTGAAATGGTAGTGCAGCTACGTGGCACTTGATGGAATCGTCCGAGTGGAATAGGATACTGTCCGTCGCCAGCGTTATCTAAATAGTTAATACTTAATGCCAGGGGTACACTCAACGTACACGAAAACAGTTATTGGATATTGGCCTTCAAAGCAAGCGAAATGGGTGCTACCCATGGAGTACATACTGCAATTACATATGTGTACATGCATAGGTGCATTATGTGTACATAGCTACATATCTACTCGTATATACATAATGTAAATAAATAAATAAACTATTAAATAACCGTTCCCTATTCACGTTTTGAGGATATTTTGATTATTAAAAATGAATTAATTGATCCATAATAATACATTTTTCGCTGAAAATTAAACCCAAAGGGGGATAATGAAGAGATTTGGTGGATATTATTGGTGGATGGATTACCATTAAGACTATCTGCTTGGTATGTTTAATGCTGATGGGCGACTATGTTAAGGGGATGACCGGGATCGGCTATTCCAATCTTTGGATTCTTGCTAAGTTTACACACACTTAAATATTGTCTTCAAAAACATGGATATTAATTGAATTGAATCGAATTGAATTGAATTTGTATCATTTGTTCGTACCGTAGATTTATTCACAGTCTAGCTTCGTGGATATACCGCACATAAAGTAGCTTTGACCACTTCGAGGGTAGTCACGCAACCGATATGACCCATCCGGATAGGCGGAGCGCAGCCCGCTAAATTCTACCGGCGCGACGATCGCGACGTCCGCGACGTCAGCTCATTAATAAAACCAGCTACAACGACAACGACAACGACAACGTTCGTAAAGATGAAGCCGATGCCGATGCCGATGCCAATTCCGTGCCCAAGTCCGATCCGAGTACGAGTACGAGTCTGTGTCTGTGTCTCGCCTCAGTTGCGCACTGAATCTGTGACTAGTCAGTCGCGTTGTGTCTGGTCCCAGCAGCCAACAGCAGCAGCAGCCGAAGAGGCCCAAGGCAAAGTGTTAATATCCCAAGTGCGAAATGCGTTACCTGCCATTGAGTGCGTTCATCGTGTGCTTGGCCCTCGCCGGGCACTGCCAAGTCGCTGGTAAGTGGAAAGGAAAGGAAAGGGACGGGAGAAGTTCGGGTTGGGAGATACATACATATGTATGTACATACTTACTGACATATTGCCAATATGTATCAGCAGGCTACAAGAGCGAGGTCGAGATCACGCCAGACCCGCTGGACGTAGTTGAGACTACAACAAAGAAGTCCAGCTGGTTCGGCGGCTTCAAGAAGTTCTTTGGCAGCAGTGGCGATCCGTCCAACACGGAGGTCACAACCAGCACCACCAGCACCACCTCGACCACGACGACAACCACAACCAGGCCAAGTTCTGTAGCTGGCACGACTTCGGTCGCCCAGAAGCCCCCCCCACTGGTAATCTCTCATGCCCCGTTGATGCCGTTGGGCCCTCGGCCTGATACCCCCAGCTCCTCCCCTTTCGGAGCTGCTAGCGGCCCCCAGTGGCCCACAAGCGGAGTGGGTGTCAATCATTTTATTTCCAGCACTAAGCCGCCCCATCAGACGCCCTATCAACCGCCCCAGGGACGTCCACAGGAGGCAGGTGGAGCACCCAATTTGCCACCGGGATTCGCCCCCTACCGCCCCCAGAAGCCACAACCGAACAGCTACGATTTGAGCTACGGCAGTGGCAGCGGCAGTGGCAGCGGCAGTGGCAGTTTCGATGCGGGACGTCCGGGACTAAATGACCCGCTGGCTAATAGCAGGGCCACAACTACCACCCAGCGGCCCAAGACGCCCAATATCCAGCCTGGATCAATCGATGTACGCTTCGGAACATCCACAGCCAAGCCACAGCCACCGAAGGAGGAATTCCCAGCTCTTCCCGGTCCCCGTCGCCCGTCCGTGAAAGATGACTACCCGCCTCTGCCTACGGTCCGGTCTCCATCGGTACCTTCCTCTCCCACTGCTCTTCACACTCCCACTCCCACTCCCACTCCCACTCCAAATTCCATTCCGACTCCTTCTTCGCCCTCTGCCTGGGCATCGCCTCTGCCTCTGCCTCTGCCCACGCCCGTGCACCCAGCAGCCCCCGTGCATCCGGCTCAGCCCTCGACCAAGCCAACGCCCGCCAATGGAGTGTCCTTTGTGCCGCACACGGGGGGAACGGGAGGACAAAGCGGTGCAGGAGGAGCCAGCACGACCACAGTTCGTCCGGGCTTCCAGTCGTCGGGCAATTCGATGGCCAGCGACGATGAGATCCGCCAGCTGACAGAGCAGCTGTACACCAAAGAGAGCAACAGCCAGATCAGTCTGGTCGAGGTGAACCTGCAAGGGCGAACGCGCTCCATCGACAGTGCCGACGAGGCTCCCAGTCCGTAAGTCCATCAGAGTTCGCCAGGCATGGAACATGGGATAATAGCATATGGCATATGGCATATGGCATATTCCATTTGCAGACTCCTCCAGGTGGACCCCAAGGCCTTCGACCCTCCGACCATTGCCAAGATGAAACTGCTCTTCAATAACTACGAGCATGACGCACTGGTCAACGAGCACGTGACGGCCAACGAGCGAAAGGAGGAGAACGAGTTCCTGGACGCGGTGATGGCCACGGCGGTGATGCGGCATGCGATGCAGTTTCTGCAGCAGAAGGGCGTGGTCACGCCCGATCCCAAGACGCACCGCGACTTGGTCAAGGAGCTGTGGTTCACCCAGTACTCGCGCGGTCAGGGCAAGATCGGCAGCTCCGGCTTCGAGCACGTGTTCGTCTACGAGGTGAAGAACGGAACCATCATAGGACTCCACAACTGGGTGTACATCAGCGAGGAGGAGGAGGCGGGTCGCCTTGACTACAAGGGCTATATGAAGGAGCAGGCCATTGGCACGGTAAGACTAACTAGGCTCTCCTTTAAATCATGCCTACACTTTGCCACACTTTTGCTTGCAGAAAGGGAAGGTGCTGAAGATCCGCTTCTCGCACCAAGGACTGAACAAGCCCGTGAACACGGTGTTTGTGGGCACCTCGCCGGAGCTGGAGCTGGCCCTCTATACGGTCTGTTTCCAGCTGCGTCCGGACCGTACATGCCCCGTCTCCCTGGGCAACAGCAAGTTCGGCATTGTCACCTACTCCTGGCGCTACCGAGGGAAGAACCTGATTGGCAGCGCATACCCAGAGATTTGAACAGTTCCCTATTCCCTATTCCCTATTCCTTTAGTCCTCCATAAACTATTTTATTCTGACTATGCAATGAACAATACAAAAATGCACATGAAAAGTGCACGAATATGCACATTTGTTAGACAAGTTTCAAAAATAGCTATGAATAATTCAAAATGATATTCAATGTTCATTTCTAGCAAAGACTCTTCTCGTAGCTACATCTGAACGTTTTGCACGGTAACAATTCACAAATAGTTGCTTCCACAATTTTGAAGATACAAGAAAACCGAAAACTATCTACTAGATTGGTTCAGTTCATCAATACAGCAAGAGCATAGACGAATGTTCCTGTGGCTAATTTGCCATGGCACGGCTAGTGCTTCCTCGTCCATTGTGCGCCCCTGACGGTCGAAAGATAATTCGGTGGTGTGAAGAGGAAGAGAGCCGAAAAGTTCGGACATTAATCGGACGGTGTAGCATGAAAAATTGAGAATACAGATGGACGGAGTGCAAGAATTAAGATTCGAATTTCGAACATACATACACCGTTGCGTCTTCTGTTTCGACAAGTTCAAAACGAGGGGAACGCATATTACATATATGCCACGGTTCTACTTTTATATCCGTCCGCGGTCGGTCTATGTGAGCTTATGATTTGTGTCCAATTTTTAAATATTTTATGTGATTACATTTATTCGGTACATCTGGCAACGCTACAACTAGCAACTGCAAATAAATTTCTTCATTCAGGCTATAATATGAGATCCGATCTAAGCCAGACTCGGCCGTCTGGTAGATATGGGCATTCTCTACGATACCTCCCGTATCTTGAAAATTGTGGATGCCACAGATTTTCGTTGTAACAGTGTGATATTAGAGAAGTCTGGATATAAATTTTGGTTGGCTGTGTCACTAACCATACAGTATATGTAGATGTGCCATTTCATACAACTGTATGAACAATATACTGTATGGTTAGGTTAGTGGCTGTGTTTTGTAAACAGTGCCAATCGTCAAATTCTACTAAAATTAAAAAATGACAAAAATGCTAACTGACGATGAAGTGATTGTGTTGGTGGCGGCATACATTGTTGCAAAACAAAAAAAAGAAGTTTTCATCTCTCAGTTGTTGCCTCCATCTTGCACTATTCACTTCAAAATAATTGCTGATTATATATATTCCTGAGTTGTGCATCAGCTGTTCTCGCAGTGGACACACGGTACCGATAGGCAACTATCGATATACATCTGTGGATTCCGCTCATGTTGCTGCACACACTCCAGGAAAACGTACGCGAACAATTTCTGGCACAGTTTTTTTAATATGAAGCTTGACTATGCTCTATAGCTATATGACTTTAGACTTAGACAATTTTGCTCCGAAGAGATGGATAGAATGAGAGACAAAACGCAACATCAAACCACTGAGGCACTACTTGATACAAAATGACATTTTCCAGCGAAATACACCCACCAAGCCAGCGAAATTGTAAAACAATCGATTAATTCTGCCGCAGCGCTGCCCCCAGCACAACTGGGAAGCCAGCTTGGCACACATATTTCTCTCGCTCTGACTGCAGGCATTTCCCATAAGGTTATCATTATTTTTCCAGCTAGTCAGTTAGCAAAGTCTTATGTCATATGGCCATTACACAGTTCAAATGAGCGCGCGCTACCAACGCCGAACACATTTATAGCGGAGCTATCGATAGCTGTTCATCGATACTTTCGGCCATTAGAAAATGGGCCCGCCTGGTTTAAAATTCTGAGCTGGGAAAACCTGTTGTTAGCCTCGCTCTCTACGAAGTCGTAGCAACCTCTCTTTGGATCAGATCAACAGGTGGGACAATCTACGACTGTAAAGCCGCTGTTTCAGTTTTCAGTTGCTGTCTGACTGCCGGAGGAGTTTGTAGTGATTTTTTTTTTTGTTCGCGGCGTGCCACGAATTACTACTACGACCACAAACGAAACACACACTCTTACACACAACCACCAGTCGCAACAAGATCTGTTTTTTTTTTTGCAACTCTACGCGCCTGTGCCGTTCAATTATAATTGTTAAATGTAAAACAACTTAAGCTCGACCATATTCAATAATAAAAAGAAAGAACAAGAGCCTGCGGCTACACAGCTACAGCTACGACGGCAGAAAGCGGAATCAAAAAGTAGACTGAATCAGACTCCGTAATGAAATGTAGCAGAGCTCGTCCATCATCTTATGTGAATACATACATCCTACATACTTACATACACATACATACTATGTTACGTTCTGTGCGGTGACGAAGTGACGTTAAGGCAACAAAGAAGAGGCAGTAATAGAGAGAGAGAGGGAGAGAACAAAACGACGAAACGAGCACAAAACACATTAAAAACACAAACACAAACGCATACCAGCAAACGACACCAACAACAGCAGTAGCAGAAGCAGCAGCAGCAAAACGGTTAACTGAAACGAAAAGCAACAACAAAGCAAGTGAGTAGTCGAAAGAGGGAGAGAAAGAGACGAAAAAACATATGCAAAACCAAAATAGATATAACCTTTTGCCATACCCTGTACCGCTCGCTCTCTTTTAATTCAAATCCGAATTCCAGAGATAGGCGTGTACAAGAGAAATGGTTAATAAGAAGAGATCGAATCGGAAGGCGCCTTGGAATTAAGCTTTTGTGGATGCTCTCTCATGACTGTAGGGAGAAAGAAGTGGAATGACTAGTCGAAGTACACATGTGCATATGTACCTATGTACATATATATCCAGAAGTCATCTTTTAATTAGATTAGATCTTTCTTATCCACCCACACTTAATCAGATTGACAGTTCTGCAAGTGATGCAATCCATGGTTTGGATATGAATGGAGTGGTGTTCTCCCTCCATTCCATTTTGTGCACGTGTGCTTGAGTCTTCGTGGCCCTACATACATACATATACATAAATACGTATTTATGTACATACGTATGCATGCACGTAGGAACGAATGCGATCGACTTGTTTGTGTGTAACGGAATGCACAAGCCATTTCCATTCTTTTGTTTTCTTTTATTTTACTTGTTATTGGAAGGGATCGTCTTGAATTGGCTTCGCTACGATTCGATTTTCTCCGCAAACGGACAGCGACGGCGACGACGACGATTTGGCAAGAATACCAAGAACGATTGCAACGGTAAAGCACGGCAAACAGTTAGACGTGCAAAGAGGAAAAAATCGACGAAAACCAGGCGAAAAGCTATGCATGTACATACAATAAAAAATTGGTAGTGGAAGCATAAGAAAACTGGTTCCGGCCATCGGGGAATGCCGCATCGGCCCCTCGGCCCCTCGGTTGAATATTTGTCTGGTTCTATCTGTTTGTGTTTGTGTGTGTGCGTCTGTAAGAGTGTGTGCGGGCCACTTCCGTACAACAACGCCCCAGTGCTTTTTCTTGCTTGCACTTGCTCTTCGTCCCACCACCACTCTCGTTCACGGCTTCCAGTTTTCATTCGTCAGTGTTCCTGGTTCGTGTTCTCTGCCTAAGTCTTTTGTTTTCCTCATTCTTTCCCGTCCCGTCGTTGGCCCACTTAATTGCTCCTTCGCCTTTTCGCCTAGAAGCTATCACCTGAAGAATTCTTAACCCTTCAATATAAATAAGTAAAACGAGAAGGAACGTGTGAGTCGCTTCTGGGGACGCGACTCTACTTATACCCGTACTCAGTCAGTATATACATTTTTGAGCTTATGATTTTTAAGAATTTTAGAAAAAAAAAAAATTTTACATTTTACATTTTTTTTGCTACGTATGATATCTACATCTACATATACAATGTATATTCTACATCTAACATGTAGACTTTACATGTTCCAATTAGATTCTACATCTCCTCCGCTAGGGGTTGCTCGCGCACTGAACGCGGCAGAGTGTGCGAGCGAGAAGGAAAATGAGTTGTGTTATTGTTGGCGGGAGGGGGAGGGGAAGCCACTGAAAATTAATTTCTTCATTTTGGCTATAATTATGATCCGATCTGATTCAGATTCGGCAATCTGGTAGATATGGGCATTTTCTACGATACTGCGTTTTTAGTTTTATCGTATCTTTAAAACTGTGCCTGCCACAGATTTTCGTCCTTTGTGTGGGCGGAAGGGGGCGGGGCGAAATTTTGAAATACACTTGTAGCAGTGTGATATCACATGAGTCTGGAAACCAAATTTGGTTTCTCTAGCTCTTATAGTCTCTGAGATCCAGGCGCTCATCAAGACGGACGGACGGACAGACGGACAGACGGACAGACGGACGGACAGACGGACATGGCTATATAGACTCGGCTATTGATGCTGATCAAGAATATATATACTTTATGGGGTCGGAAACGTTTCCTTCTCTGCGTTGCACACATCCACTTTTACCACAAATCTAATATACCCCTTAACTCTTTTTTGAGTACGGGTATAAATATGTACTTACATACATATGTATGTATGTATGTACATACATATATGTTCATACATACATATACAAAGGTAGGTAGAGTTGGGCTTATTTTTAAAAGTCTAATTTTCAAAGGTCCCAGTGCTTCCAATAAAATAAAAAGTTTTTGCCCGATTCGAAAATGCTTAGAGGTGCAGACTTAAGCTCAAAGATAAAAAATAAAATATTTGAACCATGGTTCGTATGGCAGCTATACTTGATATCGCTCTGGTCGGATTGAGTTTTTTTTTTATTGTTTTACAATATAATACTTTTTTGAAAATTTCATTTCGATTGGTTAATATTTAAGCCAACAAATCAAATAGTTAAAACCATTTATACTTAACCAATTTTGATTATTGAATGGATATTAGCACTAGATATTTTAATTGTCCCTAGCGTCTTCAGCAATTTCTGAAACCATCTCACAATTGCGCGAAGGGGGGAAATTCCATTTATGTCAGGGCTGGTTTATTATATTCTTGCATAAGTAAAATTAAAAACAGCTCGCATCGGCCATAAATGTGTTTTAATTTGACAACTTTTAAAAAAAAATGCGAGCTATAAAATCCAACAAAGACTTTTTATTGTACTTTGCAGCTTAACGCCTGAAAGATATTAAGCTTTTTTCAAAGGTTGGTTCAAATTTTATCATTTGAGACTTTGCAGTTATTCCTTTGAACATTTTG